CGACCCTCAGTGCTGCCACCGCCGGAGGCCCCAGGAGTCCCCCGGCGCTGCTCCTCCAGCCCGTCTGCAACCTGCGCCACGGCCACACCTGCCCCTTGCACTGCTGGGCCGCGCATTGCCTCTTCTTGTCTGTTCAGCATTGAGTAACATTGAGTAACAGGCTCCAGCCCCACTCACTGGTGTGGGGAAGAGGTGCTCTTTGCCACGTAACTTTGTTCTCCCTCGGCTCTGTAGTATTCCTTTCTCCCCCCATCCTCCTTCCACAAATTGCTTCCACTCTGTCAGGCAGTAAAACGCCTGCACCTGTGACCTTACTTAGCAGGAGCAGCAGTGAAGGGAGTCGAGAGCCTTAGACCCAGGGCTGTGTTTTGCTTTCTTCACCTGCAGGGCTTCCATGATGACAAGGGTCTTTGTCCAGGGCATCAGAGCACGCTGTCCAAGAGATGGTAGAGAAAGGAGCTGTCTCACCTTAGGGAACACCTTCGTTTCCTGCGCATAGAGCTGCCTTGACATCGCTCCTGCCTTTTCCTCCCCAAAGCTGTCTTCCTTCCCTTGTCTGTGCTCAAGAAGAAATTTTCTTCCATCAGCCCTGTACCACTTGCAAGGCTCCCACCTCCACTACTAAATCTCCTGTTAGCTGGGCGAATTGTCTCTGTGTTTAATGCTCTTTAGTGTATTGTTCTTCCACTGGTTTGTCCAATTCGTTTTTGAACCCACGCGAATCTTTAGCATATCCAATATCTTGCACCAAAGATCTCTGCCTCTTAACCTTACATTCTGTAAAGAAATACCTCTGTTTCACAGAATCACAGAAGGCCAAGACTGGAAAGGGACCTCTGGAAATCATCTAGTCCAACCCCCCTGCTCAAACATGGGCATCTAGAGCACGTTACCCAGGATCACGTCCAGGCGAGTTTTAAATATCTCCAGAGAAGGAGACTCCACTACCTCTCTGGGCAACCTGCTCCAGTGCTCTGTCACCCTCACAGTCAAGAAGCTTTTCCTCAGGTTCAGATGGAACTTCCTGGGGTTCAGTTTGTGCCCATTGCCGTCCTGTTGCTGGGCACCACGGAGAAGAGGCTGGCCCCATCCTCTCAACACCCTCCCTTCAGATACTTGTAGACGTTGATGAGATCCCCTCTCAGTCTTCTCTTCTGCAGGCTCAACAGGCCCAGCTCTCTCAGCCTTTCCTCATAGGAGAGGTGCTCCAGCCCTCTAATCATCTTTGTAGCCCTCCGCTGGACCTGCTCTCCAGTAGTGCCATGTCTCTCTTGTCCTGGGGAGCCCAGAAGTGGACACAGGACTCCAGGTGAGGCCTCCCCAGGGCTGAGGAGAGGGGCAGGATCACCTCCCTCCACCTGCTGGCAACACTCTTCCTCATGCACCCCCGGATACCATTGGCCCTCCTGGCCACAAGGGCACATTGCTGGCTCATGCTTAACTTGTTGTCCACCAGCACTCCCAGGTCCTTCTCGGCAGAGCTGCTTTCCAGCAGGTCAGCCCCAGGCCTATCCTCAGCAAACTTGCTGAGGGTGCACTCTGTCCCTTCCTCCAGGTCATTGATGAATAAGTTGAACAAGACTGGACCCAGGACTGACCCCTGGGGGACACTGCTAGCTACAGGCCTCCAACTAGACTCTGTGCCACTGACCACAACCCTCTGAGCCCTGCCATCCAGCCGGTTCTCAAGCCACCTCACTGGCCACTCATCCAGCCCACGCTTCCTGAGTTTACCTACGAGGAGGTGACGGGAGACAGTGTCAAAAGCCTTGCTGAAGTCCGGGTAGACAACATCCACTGCTCTTGCCTTATCTATTCAGCCAGTCATTGCATCATAGACGGCTAGCAGGTTGGTCAAGCCTGATTTCCCTTTGGTGAATCCATGCTGACTACTCCGGATGCCCTTCTTGTCCTCCGCATGGCTTAGTGAGGACCTCCAGGAGGAGCTGTTCCATCACCTTTCCAGGGCTGGAGGTGAGGCTGACAGGCCTGTAGTTTCCTGGCTCCTCCTTCTTGCCCTTTTGGAAGACTGGGGTGACATTGGCTTTCTTCCAGTCCTCAGGCACCTCTCCTGTTCCCCAGGACCTTTCCAAGATGATGGGGAGTCGCCTAGTGATAGCATCCGCCAGCTCCCTCAGCACTTGGGGGAGTTTCTTTGTTCTGAATCTTGTCACCTGCTGGTATGATTTGATGCCCTAATTTTTGTGCTGGAATGAACTGTGAGCAGTTACGCCCTATTCATTTTTCCCATACCATTCATTATTTGCAGCTGGCTTCACATTACCCCATTGTGTCTTTCAGGCTCAAGAGTGCCAGGAGAAAGGGATCATCTAACTAAATGTGAATGTTTGAAGTGAAGGTATGCTGTGAAGTAGTTATTTTAGATTATTGTTACAGTCAGTGAGGATGTTGTCAGCAGAATTTAGAGTAAGACAGTTATCTTTGGTCCTACAAACTGCACTCTGAACTCCATTCACTACTTCTCCAAAAAGACCCCAGGTGACTAGCTGAAATGGAGATTCAAATGTGTAGTTATCTAGCAGGAAGTAAGATGAATGTTAGGCATCTAGGCATCCTTCTAAAGTAGCTATTCCAGGGTTTTGGTCATCATTATTATCTTCTCTGGAACTTTTCTAGCTCTCCTATATAAGCTTGTCTTCTGTTCCTTGCCTAACAGTTTCCAATATTCTGCTTGTTTTTGTGACTGTTACATGTAGCACTGTTCATTTTCATAGAACTATGTACTTTTAAATCCAAAAGCTTGTTCATGAGTGGTAGTGGTGAGCTCAGGGCTTCCCATGCTGCACGGAGAATTGATAGTTTTTCCTAAGAATCCTAGGTTTTTTTCACCTTACATTTAGCTTCACTAAATTCCCTGCACCATATTATCATCCGTTCATTATGTAACAGCAGGTTCTCCTGTAGTTTTTCACAGGGCTGTCAGTTTAGGCCTTGCTCTAGGGTTGTATGACAGACTATTTTCTGTTAGCTGAGCGGTACATGGTTTCTTTGTTGTTTGGACCAGATAATCAGGCATAGTACAAACCATGTCCCTTCCTTGTACGTGCTGGACTACAAAAACTGACATACTTTTAGAGTATTAGCCTGCTGAGCCACCTGCACTCCACTCTTTTACCTTTATGGAAGAATTATGAAGAAAATGGATTATCAAAAAAACATAGATAAGCACATAAATATAGGCTATTTAGTCTTAACCTCAGGAAAGTGAGTAGAAATGCTGATACAATAACTGATTGATTAAAAATCACCAATTAGGACTATTATGCCTTCTTGTCAGTGTTTGTTAATGGAAAATAGGTCATATCACGAAACATGACTTCAAGAAACATGACTTTAATAAGACAGTGAGCTTGATTGGGAACAATTGGTGAAGATTTTGTAAAGCAATCAACTTCGTACCATAAGGTACATAATTTAAAAGTTAGAAAAATACAATATCAATAAAATATGTGTTAGTTTAATTGAGAACTGGCAAGCTGACAAATCTCCAAAGTTACTGTCATGAGGATACTATTAAAAGAATAGGGATTTTCATGGGATTTGGAGCCTCAGTTTTCATTTTGATAAAATTCTGAAAGTCACAAATGATTGGCAGGAAGGCAGCCGGTCATAGATAAGCAGCTGGAGGGGAAGAGGAGGACTACCAACCAACTTTGGCTATAGTTTAATAAAGGGGGTTCAGTGGTCCCCCTTTGAACAGGTGCTAGTCAGATTTCAAACTGAATCTTCAGAAATTGAACTCTAGAAAACAAAACCAAAAACACACAGAAAGTTTCTTTCAATTTAGTTCTCCAGATTGCTTCACTTTGGGTTCAGATGGACACCATTAGCGTAAGAAAGGCAATGGGAATGTGCATCCCAAGCCAAGGAGTGCACAGCTAGAATGGTTCAGTTATATCACTAAGTCATACTTTCAGCTTCTTTACCATTAGCAAATGGACTTTACTGAGAGTGAAAATATCTCAGCACTATTTGTATAAATCAGCAGAGCAGTTTCCCTAACAGGGGTAGCTCTTGCCCTCATGGACCAAGCAAGCAGGGTGTTCAGTTCTTTCCTTGTCTACTATTTCTTTCCTCTCTTAAACCTTGTCCTTTTACCCCTGTTCTTCAGGCTTTGAATCCTCTTTGGTATTGGGCTGATACTACCCTTTTCTGGAATGATGTTATATGTCGCATTTGTGATGCAGAGAGAAGCTTGCTGTATTATAAAGAATAATGTGGTAAACTGGGTCCATACAAATAAAATGTGCTTTAATACAGTTAAATACCAAGTTCTAAATCTAGGATCAAACACAGTCTTCAGCAACCTCAGCCCTATTCTGCACTTCTCCTTCATAGGCAAGGCCTAAATACCTTTACAGCAAAAATCCAAGATACTAAAGGATGACAAGCATTGACTGACAAAAGAGCATCACTTGGGTTTCAAATTGTAACTCAAGCCACAGAAATTACATCAGTGTAAGAAAAAAAAATGC